TTTACCACCAATCCTCTGTCAAACATCTTGGTTACACGCATTTTTTGTTCAGGCCAAAGGAATAAAATTATTCCTTTGGCACCATCTGGTGGAATCTTGGTGTCGTGGTTAAATTTAATACATTGATAGTGTTTTTCCATCTTGTTTAAAATGTTCGGACATTGTTGTTGGCACCAGATAGTTAAAAGTGAAATCGAAAGAATGGTTTTGCTTCTGTCCCTATGAAGTTATTTATAGCTCGCGTAGTCTACTTTGCCATCCAATTTGTGTTGTTGTGGGCAAATATCTCAAGATGATTTTAATGATTTCTATCATTTGTGCGCATTATTTGTTTCCACGTGTGTGACATCTCGTCTATTTACTAGTTTGTTCTTTAGGCTAGTTTGCTAGCTCATACAATTGCTGAGCCTCATGTGAAGGTAGTTTGTGCTTGAACAATATAACTACCGAATACAATACTTACACAACATCAGTTCATGATTGTGAGCTACAAATATTGTAGGTACATTGACCGGACTTCAGCGCAGGCACCGTAGGTCGAATTCTCACTCACTGACTATTTGAATGTCAATAAGAACGGTTGTCTCTATATGTCCCCTGCGACTGACTGGTTAACCGTCCAGGTTATAGTCCACCTTTTGCCCAGAGTCACCGGGGACAGGCTCCAGCTGCATGCGACCTGGACCTCGAAGCATGGTGCTGTCATGCTTTGTAAATGAACATCGCTGGACTTGATGGGAGAGTATAAACGACATGTACTCTAGGTCTGGGTCAACAGTCAAAATGATGTCACTCTCTTAAATAACATGGCAAAGCTTTAGTAGCATACTTGTTTAAAATGATGTCACATAGAATTAAGTTGTGGGCTTAGATGGTTCTGACTTGGGGAGACAGGAGCTTTTGGACATGAAGGAACAACCTGATTTTCAAGTAACTTTATATGAAGGATTAATGTAACACAAAAAAGAAATAAAACTAAGATCTTTAATCTTGGATTACAGTCTGCGGCAATTGAAACAAGGTGACTTCTTTGCACTTATAGAAAAAAAAAAAGACAGTACAGGTATATGGTTGACTGTAATTTGTCCTGCTCTTGCAACTGATATTGTGTTTAATTGTGCATAGCTTTTATGGTGTAAAATTACTTAACATGGTGTCTGTGGACACCCATCTGCAAAAAAATGCGAAGCCCCAATCGAGAAGAGACTCGCTTGCTGATTGAGCTGAGGCACAGCTGCATGCTTTATTATCTTAATTTTAAGTGTTCAATTTGTTGTCATCTTGTGGCATCTATATGCAGCGACAAAGAGTTGCGTCAATTATTTGTGGACTTTCACTGGTCCCTATTCCCAACAAAAACAGATTTTCACTGTTCACGTAAATAAATGCCGTTGGAGGATTGGAGGTTTACCTGACAGTTGATCCTCCCACTTCTTCTTTGTTTTGGCCACTTCTTCTTTATGTCCCTGTTGACAAATGGGTCAATCAAACCAGTCATTTCAGAATCAGAATCATCTTTATTGGCCAAGTATCTAAAACACACAAGGAATTTGTTTTCCTTGCCTTTTGGGATAGCAGAGAAAAAGTATATCTCAATGAGATGCATATTAGCATCCATTGAGTTGAAAATAGATGCGTTGAAAAATAAATCGATGTCCTCACCTTCTCCAGCTCACTGACAAGATTTTCAATGTCGAGCTGGTGTATGTCGTTCCTGATGGCTGCCGTCCTCTTATGAAGCTCCCTCTCCAGCTGGGCTTGTTCTTTCTCTCTCACCTCAGCAGTCGTGACACGGTCTGATTCCAGCTCAGAGATGTTGTTGTGGTGCTCACACAACAGGTGCTTCATTTTCTGCTTGTACACCTGATGTCACGGAAAGATGCAGTTAATTTTACAAGTGATTGCGAATACACTTTGCAGTGAGGTAGAGTTGGAATTGGGTGCAAAGTTTCCAGTAAATTTCCACAGGGAGTTAGGACATGCCCAAAGTCAGCTGAAATGGACAGCAGCTCATCCACGACCCTGAACAGGATACTTGCTTGACTTTCCATCAAGCTGTGCAAAAGATTTTTAGTTACCTACTTTAATCTCTACAAGGTGGCGTTCCTCATCCTCCTCAATCTTCTTTTCTTCATTTCTGAGTTGGGCCACGGCCTCCTTCAGTTGCTTTTTGGTCACATCCCAAAAGGAGTGGATCTTATCTCGCTCCAGCTGGAAGTAGTTCCTCTCTTCCCGTTCTCTGTCCAGCTGCTCTCGCAGGATGACAATGTGCTCTATCATCTAGAATTCAGAAATCAATTTTATTGCCGTAGCGTCACGTAATTTCTACCCACAACAATACACACAACAGATGTGCCTTCCAAAATAATGATTAGTTTATTGACTGTCAGAGAGATATTAATTTAACAATGTACCTATTAATGTGTTGTAGGTTGCAGTGCATAATACTCGCGGAGTCTTAAGAGACTCACTGTAGATCCATGTAACGCGCACGAACGGTGAACAACGCCGCTCCTACAATTATCATGTTGTCAACCACATCGCAACTATATTTTTGTTAATTTTCAACCTGCTTGAGCAATTTCACAAGTGTTTTTTTAATCCTAAGAAAAAAATGCTCCTGGCATAAATTCTGCACTTGTCACCATGGATAAAATTAACAAACCACAATTAGACGGTTGGCACATACAGAGACCAAGCCCTGCGCGGAAGTAACGTTATATTAGTAAGGTACATCAACATTAATATCACAGGGAAGAAGCTGCGCATAGGATCCCGCGCAAGGTTTTCATTCCGACCTGCTCCTTGGACAGCTCGTCCTTCGTGAGTCCATCTATGAGTGCAGCAGACTTGACCTTGGTTGACTTTTTACCCGAGCTCTTCTTTTTAGGCGACTGTTCAAAGTTAGCACGTTAGCCAAAACATTTCATTTTTAATGTCATGCTGTAAAGCTAATACAGCTCATTCATCCACCTCATTATAATTCTAAAGGCAAACTCAGTACAAACAAACTTTAGCTCACCATGGTTCGTAATCTCGTTTGCAGATATCTGGAAACGTAATTGCGAGCTGCTTCAAACAAGTGTTGCCATGGCAACGGGATACGATTTTCCTTGGTGTGCAAACCTGCCAATGGAAGGCAGTTCTCCACTTGAAGAACTGGAACTGATTACAATCTTGGACAGTTCAACAGTTAAAACGAAAAGAATTGTTTGGGGATTGGGTGAGAGTCTTTTTCCACGCAAAATATGCACAGTAATATAAACTGGTCGAAAAAGCAGTAGTACTCGTGAATTGATAAATTGCAATACGCCCAGTATGTACGGCGTATGAAACTGTTGAGGTGCATAATGTGTATTCATAATATTGCATTTCGAAAGTGAAAAACAGTATCACTCAGACTGTGACAGAAATTCTTTGTGTGCCATCGAGGAAAATTAGCCCATTTTAGTAATAGTTTAAATCCCTTTTAAAAAAGTTGCTAAAGGTTTTGAAACCAATTTTAAAAGTAGGTTAATGTGTTGGTGAAAGTTGCAAAATCAAGCAACCAAAGTGCGATTGGCATTTGTGCACGTGACGAACAAGCGCCGTCACGTGACTTGTTTTACAAGGAAGTCACGCGCCAGGATATAAAAACGAGGCTCGCTTCAGATGTTATTATCCCCTTCAGTTAGCTGATCTTTGAGGTCAGAAGATGTACGCCGAGGGTCACCCGTCGGTCTTGTTTTTATCCGTGTTAGCCGTCTTCTGGCTTGGCTCTTGGGCTCATTATGCCCCCGACGAGGTGAGCAATCTCCCCGGTATGACTTTCAAACCCAACTTCCGTCAGTGGTCGGGACACGTCCAGGCCAGACCCGGCAAATTTCTGCATTATTGGTAAGCGACATGAAAAACACACTTGAGAATAAGTACTCGTAGTGGTCACGTGATTGCATTCGTTTTACTATATTGTTTTGAAGTCAATCAGTCTCAGTGATAAGAAGTAACTATTTTTTAAATAAAATGTGCTTAGATTTTTTTTCAAGGTACGCACACTTGAGTATTAATATTTCTGACGACTTTTTTTAAACTCTTTACATTTGAAAAAAATCTGTACTGTCTATATTAATGTTATTAGCCAGTTTAGCGTTTGATATTCTGATCACAACGTTAGCAAATCAGAGGCACAGGTTTGATAGCGTAGAGGGAATAAAAAAGAAAAATTATGTGCAGAGGTATATTTCCATTGTGCTCATCAGAAGTGGGTTGAGTAGACAAAAATTATATTCCTATAAGACTGCTGTCATTTGAAAATGATGTGACTCAAGGATAAGTAAAAAGTAGTGCTCTGCATAATTACTAGCGTAAGAGCAAGTAGACCCAAGTATTCAGTTAAAAATAAATCTACAGGCACGGGGAGAGCATGCAAACTCCACACAGAAAGGCCGGAGCCAGAAACAAACCCGTCACTTCTGGACTGTGAGGCGGATGTGCTAATCAGTCGGCCACTGTGCTGCCGAAGTGCTACTCATGAATTGCATATTTCTTTTCTCCCTGCTCCAATTAAAAGTACACAACCCTTTCTCCAGTGAGAAACAGAACTACAATATGTCCAGTTGGATTGGGGGAGGGAGGGAGTACAAGAATTGCCATTCTTGTACTAATTTGATCAAATACAAAAAATCAGGGAGTTGTCAGATTTGTTTTGTACTTCCACATTTGTGAATTTATTACTAATAAATCCTAAATCAGAGGGATTTGTTTATGTTTTGATTTTAACTTAGATTCCGTGTTACAGAGTAACTGCCTTCTGCCTTTTGTCAGAAATAAATGAAAGGTCTTTCTTTAAAATTATCGGTCACTGGTTTAATAGAAATGTCATGTATCAAAAGTAGGCCTACTTTTGGTATTGGGCTGAGAACACTTATTAATATCAGTCTGGGGAAAAAAGAGTGGTACGAAATATCCATACTCAATACGTTTGCTTCTTTGAATAATTGAAAGTGAAAACTGGTGGATTGGGTCTCGTGCAGGTTTGTGACCTCTCAGAGGGACCCGGTCAAAGACCCGCTGGTATTGTGGCTCAACGGCGGCCCAGGCTGCAGCTCGCTGGATGGATTCCTGTCTGAGAACGGACCCTTCCATGTGGGTGTGCCCACAGTTTGCAAAAGTGGCAAAAACACTCAGTTGACGTGACTTTCTTTGTTAATTTCCTCTCAGGTAAGAGATGATGGAGCCACTTTGTACGAGAACACTTTCAGCTGGAACAAGATCGCAAACGTTCTATATTTAGAATCTCCCGCAGGAGTCGGCTACTCCTACTCCAATGACGGTGACTACACAACGGATGATGATCAGGTGATATATTCTATGATTGACTTGTTGCGTGAAGCTAAAAAAAAAATAAATAAATTCACGCCTCCTGTTTAGGTTGCCGAGGACAATTACAAAGCGCTGCAGAGTTTTTTTGCCAAGTTTCCGAGCTTCACTCGGAATGACTTTTTCATCGTTGGAGAAAGTTATGGTGGAATTTACGTGCCAACCCTCAGTTTACGCATTGCTACAGGAGATGACAAAATCAAATTTAAGGTGAGATTCTTAAGCTCGAATGCATGATACAGTTGATGTTATTTTGCAATGGAGAAGGCCCCCCAACCCCCCAAAAAAAGTTCTGTGTATACTAAAAAATGATGATCCCGTCTTATGTTTCACGCAGATGTGCGTATTGTTTAGTTGAACACTATATTCTGTTGTGTGAATAGAAGCATACGTTAATTGTTCTGCCTGTCACTATATGTCGCTTGCAAAGAAAGAGGACAACAATAAGTTTTATTTTCCCTATGTAATAATTTTTGGATCAATCCGATAAAACTGGACCATTTCTTGTGGCACGCTAAGTGGTTAGTGTATACTGTGCTACACTGTCATTTGTATGTTAATTTCTATTTTTTTTTTTTTTTCAAGGGATTTGCTGTGGGAAACGGTCTCAGCAGCTTTGCACTCAATGACCAGACTTTAATCTATTTTGCCTACTACCACGGCCTCTTTGGAGAAGAGTAAGTTACTTTTCGATGAAGGAACTATATTTTATAAACTTGCGCAGTCTTTGAACATTCATCTCAGCACTTATGATGATGCTGTGTCTAAAATTCTGCCTGCACTGAGGTGAAAATGCCCAGTTTTGATTGACACTGTAAAATAGGACATAAATTAATGGGGTTAATTATTGCGGTTGTAATTTACAGTGTAGGACCGTCTCCAGCACGTCCACGTCCCTTGTGAGGATAAGCGGCTCAAATAATGGATGGATGAATAGCTACAGAATAGTTGAACTATCACAAACACATGATTAACAGAGGTAAAGTCAGAATTAGGAATGCTTTGATGTAAATATTCAGACAGCTTAAACTTGCATTTGAGTAATCACCAACAACCTCTTCTTGATCAGGCCATCGAGCTTAAAATTATGATAAATGTTTTATTTTAATCAAATATTGTTCGAAAACAATTCTTATACATGGCGGTGGTTTCCTTTGAATTTATTTATTTATTTTTTTTACTACTCGCATTTTAGCAGGTATGTGAACAATCTTGCCAAACATTTCACTGAAATGTAGTACAAAAGTATTGTGTGATGAGTCAATGTCAACACTGGGGGGCACTATGACAGGAGTAAATCGAGTAAACGGTAGATGACTAAGAGATGAAGAAAAATGCCAAGTCTGGTATACAGTATATTCAAGATAGATGCCATGTTACCGCTGTGTGTTCACAATTAAAAAAGTGAGCAAAAAGAAATATAAGACCGAGCAAAGTTCATCCATTTATCAGTTGGCTAACAAAGTGTTATTGTCTATTGTGATTACCTTAAAGCAGGGGCATCAAACTCATTTTTGTCACAGGCCACATCGCAGTTACGGTTTCCCTTGGAGAGCTGTTAGGCTGTGAAGTCATGTAAATGTATGCTCCCTCTTTTATGTTATCACACATACACAACAAATGGATGGATAGCTAGTTTTGAAATCAGAAGTCAGTTCAAATGTTTTCAATTTTTTTTAAAAGGGGGCGTGGGGGGCGTTGGTCACAAAAAAAAATCTTGCAATATCTCACTGTTGTTACAAGTGAAGGCTATTTGCCTTCGCAGGCTATGTAAAAATGATGTTATGGGGTGGATCTGTCCCCCGGGCCTTGAGTTTGACACCTGTGCCTTAACGTATGTGTTGTATTTTGAGCATGAAGACAGATGTACAGTATCAGCAGAGATCGTGTTATCGGTGCATCCGGAGTCAGGCTTTTTCCTGCTGTGGTTGCAATTGTAACGTTGTACGTTATGCACAGCTTGTGGCGTGATCTCAACCTTTATTGCTGCGAGAAGCAAAGATGTGACTTCTCCAACTCCACTTCGCAGAAATGCCAGACGCTGGTATGTACGTGCGCCCTGCATGTACATTGTTCATCTTGCCACACAGGTGAGCAATGTCTGCCTCTGTTTTGATCTCCCTGCAGGTCGGCGTGGCCTTTAATATCGTGTACAACAGTGGGCTTAACGAGTATGCGCTTTACTTGAACTGTGAGGGTCGCGGTGGTTTCCACCCAGCCTACGAGAGGGCAATGAGTCACCTGTTCAAGAACTACCGCAAACGTAGCAACAATGTAAGTGAGAGCGCACACTCTTATTCAACACACAGGATAAGCAAAAGGGATGTTGACCAAAGTCTTTGCGGGAAGCTTTCAGATGGGCCGTCATTCTCCATCTCTCTGGGCAAGGTCCCCCCCTGCATTAATAGCACGGCTCAAGTCAACTGGCTCAACAGGGGCGATGTCAGGAAAGCCTTGCATATTCCGGACACGCTGCCACCATGGGACTTGTGCAGGTATGTTCGAACGCCAACACTCTGCACGACAAGTTCTTTGTTGTCATTAATTTTGGATAGTGTGCGTGGTGTTACTAAAGAGTGTGGTTTAATTTCGAGACAATTTATTTGACCAGTTACATTCACGGAATTTTGACAGCAAAGCCAATTTCTCCATGGTAACAATCAATCTATTTTCTCTGAATGGGTGTGAGGCAGCAGTGCGAACGAACTGGGCCACTGCGTGCAAAACAAATGAAAGTAGTTGTGGCTTCGTGATTTCGTTTTGTTAATTTCTCAACATGCGACAAAACACACACACACAAGGGACTCTCACTCCATTAACTCTGTACTTGTCTTGTATGTCTATACATAAAGGCACGTCTCAATAAATTAAATTGTTGTTAAATTTTAAATTCACAATGTCTTGGAGTACACAGAATATTAAAAACTTCAGAAAATACTTTGGGGAAGGTCAATTACAACCCTACGCTTTGTTTTTTAGAAGAAAGACTATATATACTGGATATGGAGTCCCCCTCAGTTTACTTTGTAGTTAAGGGTGCCCCCTGCTGGTTGCGGCTTAGTAGTACCGGGTAGTAGTAGGATACTGATGTTTCCAGCCATAGGGAAGGGCACAAAAATAACCTCACCGATACAAACATTTGATTAAGCTAATCGATTTATTTTTAGTAGTAAAACAGCAATTGGATAAAAATCTGAAGCATCAATTTGTGCTGGCAGTGTCCATCCTAACATTTTTAAATGTACCGAATAGTTCATAACCAAATCTGAGCTTCGTTTGCTTGATGCAGACCATAATAGTGCCCTTCTAAAATGTTTTATGTTGTTGTAAATGGGGGTACGTTTTCTATATGGTTGCTTGAATGTGACGCTTAACCTCATGATCAGCTGTCACGTGATGGTCACAGAAATAAGAATCCAATGGTCCACTCATTGTCCTGTTCCTTGTGTTAATTCATTGACGCTTCTTGTCTTGTCTGTAGTGAGACTGTCGGGCAGGGTTACACCAGCCTGTACGCATCAGTGAAAGATGTGTATCTTAAGTTGCTTTCGTTTGGCCTTCGAGCACTCGTCTACAACGGGGACACGGACATGGCCTGCAACTTCCTGGGAGATCAGTGGTTTGTGGAAGACCTTGGCATAGAGGTAACGCCCGACTATTGATCCCTAACCCTTGTTTGATTTTTCATTCATCCACTTTATAATCCACTTATTGTCGCGAGTGTGCTGGAGCCTAACCCAGCTGTCTTCAGGCAGTAGGCTGGTTATATCCAATCACAGGGCACACATAGACAAACAACCATTCACGCTCACAATCACATACCCTGCCATGCATGTTTTTGAAATGTGGGAGGACACCGGCGTTCCCGGTGCAAACCCACGCAGGCACGGGGGGAACATGCAAACACTCCACACAGGAAGGCCAGAGGCAGAATCGAACCCTGCACCCTAGCAATAGAAGGCAAACCTGCTAACCAGTCGCCCACTGTTGTTTTTTTTTTTTTCTTCTTCACAATGTGCAGGTTTGTAAAACTTATTTTCAGTAGCACCCCCCTACAGAGTTTGTAATTGTGCAAAGATGGTGGCAAAACACCATAAACTAAAGCATCAACTCTATTGCACGTGTAAACCCAAGTTACTGTACATGTGTATGAAGTAGTGAAGCTATTCTACACAAACGAACCACCCACACATGAGGCTCATGAAGAGTATTAGCTGGCATATTAGCATCGAGCCAGTAGGTAGAGGACGTTGTCATGGCGTCAGGCAAACAATTTTGGAAATTTCTTATTTTATCACAAATCTATACTATTGGTCAGTCAACGTGTTTGTTATTTTTCCACTTTATTGGCCTATCTTGATGATGATCAATCTATGAGGATGTCAAGTTAATGGTTGAACAAACATGCCACCAGAGGCCAGTGATATTTGAGGTTTGCGCAGAGATAGTCAAATCTAATGTCTTCATGTTGTTCCCAGGCCACCACTAGGTATCAACCCTGGCACCTTGACAACCAGGTCGCAGGATTCTACCAGCAGTATGGAAACGTTACCTTCCTGACAGTGAAGGTAAATCAAAATAGTTTTACTCCATTTAGTTTTACTCCAATGTTGTACTGAATAATTGTTTCCAGGGTGCAGGTCACATGGTGCCACAGTGGGCTCCAGGTCCAGCTCTTCACATGTTCCAGTCCTTCATAACAAATGGCTCCTACTGAATCGTGGATACTGTGCTTAGGTTAATGTGCATTCATTAACATATATAGTATTTTTTTTTTTAAATCAGGGATTTGGGATTTTGAGGGAAAAGACAGTTTGGAATTCATTTTGCTCCTTTTACTTGTCCAAGAGAGCACACTTCAGTGTCTGAGCTTAATTGTAAAGAAAACTTAAATGACCTTTTCCACTTTGTTCAGTTTTGGCACAGTGCAAAAAAAATGTTCTCTCAATGACATTGTTTGCCGAAATGAATCACAACATTGCAATCAGTTTGCACTTGTCACTTATGCCAGGTGACTTCAATAATGAAGTTGAATTCATTAAAACTGCATTTTTAATAAAAGATGTTGGAAATGTATTACGTTCTGAAGTTTATTTACTAATCTGGGGTGGACAACATGTACATCAGCGGTGCCTAAACCTTTTGGACCGAAGATCTAACTTTTCGATCAACCAACCTCCTCCCGTTATCGCGCACGCCCGCACTTACACACGCAATGAGCAACAGCCATACCAGCCGCTAAGATGAACAGAAAAATAAAGTTCACACAAGACTGAGTTTGTTAAAAGGAAATCACTGCCTACCTTCGTGGGAGACCAGGCGCGGAGGTATGCGACACACTTTTGCAGCCTGTTAACTGTCGTAGCTCAGGCGTACCGTTTTAAAATGCTTCTCTCGGCCCTCCCGATTGCCATTCTTTGCCAATGGCATCGGTGAATTTTACACGAAACGAGATTTGACTGATAATTATAATAAAAGCTATATCGCAACAGCTCTGATATCAGCTCTGTGCAATTGCAAATTGCTGAGCGGAGCGCTAACAATTTCCGGTGACGCATCACCTGCGACCGGAAGTTAAAGGGGACTTGTTTTATTACTATTCTCACTGTACTTTTTGTGAAAGTGAGGATGTTAGGATTATTAGGGTGCAGCGAGGATCAACATAAAAATATATATTACTAACATGTACAGACACACAAATGTTTGTTTGTTTTTACACTACACCCCTCTCAATCGACTTGTGAGAGTCCACAAGCTGCCGGTCGATCGCGATCGATTTAATCAGCACCTCTGATGTACATTTTGGGCAGAAAACAAGTAAAATAATGAATGCATCTATTTATTCATGTGATTCAAGGAACAGCAGCACCAGAAAGAAAAATCACAACCAAAACACCTGACACAAATGTTATATTTCAAGTTCTAAAAACAGAAATGAATATTCCTGCCTTATCCCTTGGGATACATTGTATTTTAAAAAATCCCTTTAAGACCATACATGCAACCTTAAATATTGCTTTTGAAAAAATACATCCTGACTCGTCTGGCAGTAGTGTTAAGTGTTTGCCACGGGAGCTCAGAACGACAAATGTCAAGCTTTGGTTTATCTTGCACACGCTCTTATGGCTTCATACATTCTGTATCCCTTCAGAGAAGCATTGACAAACCCCAACTAGCCAACAGTTCTGTATATTGATTTAGTCCTGTGCTGAAACTGCCTAAATCTGATAGAATTTAGAGTCATTTCACACATTACTTACCCAGTTTCAACATCAAAAGGTGCAAATCATCAAATGTCAATTCTGCATTGTAAACAGTCACTAGCCTGGACTTTGATTCAATGGCTGTGAACCACTGCACTTGTTCCTCAATGATTAACATTTACTCTGTCACGCAATTCAAAATGTACAGATTGGTACTAATCCATTAACCAAACTATTTCATGGTGAGGTTTTCTATACCAAGTCCCTTAGCGCTTGTAAACCTGTACATGGTCACAGGGTGAGCAGTTGTAGACTGACTGTAGTCACAATACTGCTTCAGCTGCAGATTAAAAGCATCAACAAAATAAACAGAGAACATGCAAAACATTACACATGAAGGATAAAGTGCCCGAGGTTGACTTGATAGTTTGGGCTGTCTGCACTTTACTCCTGGTTCTGTAGTATAGATGTGCAATCAGGTGGCGATCAGGGCTGATTAAATGAGAAACTGCTGAAGTCTTATTTAGTGCAGAACCATTTCCACAAGCTGGGACAGAAATGTTCCCCTTTAATTGGTGACATCCTGATAGATGGAATTGGTCGTGGTGAGGCCAAAGATGAAGGCTCCAAGTGTAACCATGACGATACCAAAGACCACCAGTCCATGCCAGCTGGTAATGAAAACACCAATCAGGCATCATTTTAGGGTTATTTAAGGCCACTCCTAAATTACTGCTTTTTTAAAAAAAATACTTTACTTTATCTAATCACATTTGTCATGGGTGCCCCAACTTATTATTCATATTGACCACAAAGCTTAGCCTTTAAGTCCACTAGCTTAATGCTCAGGCTAAATTGCATCTATGTTGTGGTGCAATAACCCTTTACACTAACAGATTGAACACAAACAGTCCGACACACATAGGAAGACAATGTAACAGTTCGCTCAGTTCTGTATTCTTTATCCTCTGCAAAGAGCAACTAATATTCATACCATCTTGAGTTGAGATGTTTTATGTTTAACTCATTCAATCCCAGGCATTTTCACTGGAGCAACCCCCTCAATCCCAGCGTTTTACTGGATTTTAATTGATCTTGCAAGGCCCACAGATTATTTGGTTCTAATGCTATATAAATATGGAGCCAAACAAAATAAAGTTTGGACTTTCTTCTTTCAGCAGAAAAAACATTTTGTTTCTATCTTTTTCCATTCTTCAGCAATCTGCATTACAAAATGGCTAAGTTTCATGAAAATGGCAATTCCTGGGCAAAAAACGGAGAAAAAGAGCTTTTTGTAAAAGCATGCATTTCAAACACGTGAGGAATCACTGCCACCTACTGGTCGCTTTTTTACATGATTTACAATGCAAACGGCTTATTCTCATTCACAGATTGCATCAGACCCTCCTCCTCTCTATGACGCAAAAAAAAAAGACTTAGATGTACAAGTACGTCCTTGGTAGGCGGGGCCTAATTTTAAAAATACGTACAAGTACATCTTGTGGAATGAAAGAGTTAAATATAAGTAAATGGCAAGGGGAGTCAACAGTGCAAGACACAGAGGTAATTAATCACGTGTGTTTTTGTACTAATGATATGAGTGAAAGATTGAAGCTCTCACCTGGCAGATCGTCTCTCTGTCTCCAACAGTTTGGCTTGGATTAAACACACACCTTTCAAATCAAACACAGATCGTCCACAAACATGACTGTACGCTATTAAGCCACACAACAACTGTGCATACACAAACAAGGAGGGGAAGATACCTGGAAAGATGAAAATAAAGCAGGCCGCCAATCCCCCTATGAGCGAGATGACGCGCCCGATATCCGGCGTGAAGAGCGCGAGTACGAGCGTGAGGACGAACCATAGGAGCGTCTGCACGATTCGCCGCTTCTGCTCGCGGCGCACGCACACCTCCACATGCTCGCCTTGCCAGCGCAACCACAGTCCCTCAATGACGGCCCTGCAAACACACGGTGAAACTGGAATGATTGTCAATAATCAACACAACGATGGATAAGCGCCTACTCGTGCTAGAGGTTCAGCAAAAACTGAACCTTAAAAACTAAAAGAACAATTTTAATGGTTTACCAGAGAAATGAAACAAAAACACCTGGAGGTAGGACTGAATAGCTTTAAGATTTTTTTTTTAATCTACCGTATTTTCCACACCATAAAGCGCACCTAAAAGCATTCAATTTTCCCAAAAGCCAACAGTGCGCCTTATACTGTAATCCAATGCACCTTATATATGGATCAACCTTCTGATTTCTTGGACGTAGTACCGTATTTTAAATGTTCTGTAAAGCGCTTTGTTGCAGCTGTAGTGGTTGTGAAGGCTCTATATAAATAAAGCTATATTATATTGTATTGTATTGTATTCCCTTTGGCATAGCTCCATCTAGTGGATGCATAAAGAACCACAGCCACTTTTGTAGCTTCCATCCTACGAGCCTTATAATGTGGTGCGCCCTATATATGAAAACAGTTTTAAAATAGGCCATTCATTGAAGTTGTGCCTTATACTCCGAAGTGCCTTATAATGTGGAAAATACGGTAATTGCAATCCCCCTCCCCCTTTAAAATGGACATTTCACAGGCAAATAATTTTGGCAAATCTTGTTGAAATATCCTCAAAATTCCCCATTTCATTCATCATGATCATTTTCATTTGATAGATTGAAAAACTTGATTTCAATGAAATTATAAAATTGTTCTCATTTTTTAAAATAAAGGTGTGGTATAAAATATCCACAACTCCAGAAAAAATGTAAGACCACTGCAACATTAGCAATTTATACCAACAAATTTGATTGAGATGATTGAGATGCAAAGAAAGTGAAGTGTTGATGTCAATTTTTGTATGTCTAGAAGATTGTCTCTTAGCCTCTCTCTTCCAGAGGTACATATAACAACGTCTGTAAACATAACGTAGAAGCATTAAGATAACCACAGTTTTTACCTCCCACAGAAATGCAAAATAGGGTACGAGGTGACCACGCAGATAACAATGAACGCTCTGGCGATGGCCACTGCGATGTCATTCGGAGGATATGACATCAGCACGTCCTGGCTGACATTGGAACCAAACGTCAGGAAGCCGCAGACACCTGATGAAATGGGAGGGGTATAAAAATCACACATCTCAGCGCCCTAACACTGAACATAGTGGTGAAATTACACAAAAAAACAATACATTTAAAGGGGAGGTCAACACAAAAAAATTATTGACAATAAATATGTTCTATGTGCCTCCATTAGTCTAAACACGTCATACGGATGAATATTGTGTTTGTGCATTACGAGTTTCGAGGCAAAATCCACTTTTATTTATTTTTTTAATTAACTAACTCATTCTACAAATGAATACCAATCAGACAAGTGGGGCTACATAGAACACAATGTAAAGACTTTTTTTGGGGTCGAGCTCACTTTTAATCAATTTCAAATGTGTAGAAAACGACATCAGTCACATATTGACAATGCTAATCATTACTGTTTATCATGTCAATAGTGATACGCCTCAACATGGTTGGAGCAAATAGTACCTGTCCCTGTGTAAACAAAAAGGCAGATAATCATGCTGAGCGTAACGACAAGCCCCCAGGGTTTGAGCGCTTTCTTGCTCATGCTGTTGAACACTGGTACGCAACTGACGTGGCACTGCGAAGAAAAAGACCTGGTGATTTATTTCCTCTCAAATTCAGAGAATTTGCAGAAAGGAAGAACAGTTTGAGCTAAAATGACAACTAAATTAGTACCTGGAAGCCAAAGCATATGGTTGGCATCGCGTTGAAAACTGCAGTCCAGGTGGAACTGGAACAAAGCAAATGTGTCAAAATAAATTAATAAATAAAATGGGGAAAAAAG